CCCCCCCCGCCCCACAGCAGCTAAACAGATGACATTTCAGCTCTTAATACAACTTATTGGCAGCAGTTTCATTAGTAATTCTCTCCTGTATTTAGGCCATGTAACTATCCTGATTTTGCTGTGGTGCTTACACTTTTGGAGCTCTTCATATTAACAAAGCTGAGTGTCTTTCTAGGTCATATTGCCCGTCCTGAGATGTAAACATATGAGATCATCCTCATTTTTTCCCCCCATCTTATTATTATCTCACGCTGCTGCCCCTTTCATCTCTTTGATTCTTTTTTGTCCCACTTTTCAGGCTTTTTTTTCCCTGTATTTTCACAGAGAAAGTGTAGATACGGCAGTCTTATAAAAGCAGTTGTTCATAGCTTTTTCCCCACCTTAAATAGCCAAAACAAAAGCTCTCACACCCCAGCCTTTTTTATCAATCAAAAGGATCCATTTTCAGTTTTAGTGAATTAAGGGTAATCGTGCTAGCATCTGAAAACTGTTATTTTAATACACTATTCCCGATGACCATAAATCGGATAAGTAGTTAGAAAATGAATGAAGTGATGATAAATAGGATGTAGTAGGATTCTCATTCTACCTGTGTAAGAAGTACAGAGTTACTTCACTTGCATTTTCAAGGACAAAAAGGATCTTGAGATAAGGAATTAATTTTTACAGGATTTTTCTCCTGATGCCCAACATTTAGATGCTATTATTAGATACCGCTGCAGTAATGTGATTACATTTAATAGGTTCAAATGGTGTACTTTTTCAGTGTTATAATTGCCCTTGGTGGGAGACAGATTGCAAAGTGTGGGTTGGTGTGACTTTTTCCAAGCCAAAGTTCATACAGTTTGAATTGATAGAAAGTAAGTAAGTAAAGTTTATTTATATAGCACATTTCACAGATAAAAATCACAAAGTGCTTTACAATAAGATCAGACATACAAGTTAAAATTAATTAAAAGCCCGTTTGTATAAAAATTGATAGAATCCTTCAAAACCTGACGGTCTTTTTATTGGGCAAATGTTAGTCTGCAAAATGACATAAAATATTCAGTTTATTTCATTTATTTATGTAACACTAAATCACAACAACAGTTGCCTCAAGGAACTTCCTTTTGTAAGGCGAAGACCCGACAATAATCCAGAGAAACCACAACAATCACACAACACCCAAGTACTTGGCCACAGTGGGAAGGAAAAACTCCCTTTTAGCAGGAAGAAACCTCCAGCTAAACCCGGCTATAAAATAAAATATAGGTGCAAATATTAATGCACACAGAAGACCAATGAGAATTTTTTTTGTGCTTTAATTATTTAACTCGCCAGGTGTCACTTGCACACAGTTTGTGGAGACAGCAGGTGATGTCAGGAAATGTGGAAATCCTTTTTTTAGTAACAGTTTTCTCTAAAACGTTACTGCACCTCACAGTTATGAACACTGGATTTTTTAACACAGACTTCTTACTGTATTTTAATACTTGTCAGCTCAGTTATAACATTTCATGCTGCTGTGCTTTATTAATAAAACCTGTCAAGTGCTCAGCAGTAAATTAAACTGAAGGACTGAATCCTGCTGTACCCTTGAGTCCTTGCTTTTTCTTTGTTTGTTTTTTTTGTTTCTTTGGAGGCTTCAGAAACAGGTTAAAAGTGCAAACAAACACCTAAAAACAGTTCTATTACTTGACGTTTACTTGAAGTTTGTGCAAACGGCTGCATCAGGCATTGCCCAGAAATCCCCATTACTGTCCGTGTAAGCTGGTTTGTGGTGACTGAGACGAATGGCTTTCAGTTTAGTGTTTTACAAGCTCAGCAAGCCAGTGGCCAGTTTTGGCCTGCAGATGGAGGCTAATGCTGTCTTGGAGAAGACGACTCTTGTGTTAAAAATCTCTCACTGAATGCTTTTGATGGCTTTTTCACTGATTATTGCCAGAATATGTGTTCCACTTCTGTAAAGGCCAAAAATCATCCCATTCTGCTTCGACAAAGTGTATTCTCTTCTCTCTGTGTTCATGGGCTTTCTTTGTGTTTGACAGGAGCTGTTGGGTTGCCGCTGCCTGGTGTGAAAGTTCGGATTGTTATGAATAACACAATTAATACAACCATTGTGGAAGGCACTCACAAAGAGACTCAGGTAATCCATAAGTTCAATATATATAGGTGTCATCAGGTAAAATCATGTGAAAACAAAGGTTTAGCATCAGACTCAATGCAATCCTGTTCCTGTTGCTAATGAAATGCACTTGAATAACTGATGACCAACAAGTGTGAGACCCCAAGGTCAGACTGTATGACGGATAAAGAAAAAGTACATCTCAGATTTTGCAGGCCTGACTTAGCATGTTAAATGTTAAAGTTCATGTCAGTAATATTAGGAAAAGACTGAACAAGTGTCATTTGCTTGGAAGGATTGCCAGGAGAAAGCCACTTTTCTTTAAAAAGAACATGGCGGCACAGCTTATGTTATATCCAAGCAAATCATAAGACTTCTGGGAAAATGTCCTTTGGATAAACAAAATCAGTGTAGATTTTTAATGATAGTATATAAAACGAACACAGTATATCAGCACTAACATCTCATACCAGCTGTTAAGCACGGTGATGTATTTATCCTGATTTCTTCCTTTCTTTCCATGTATATGCATCAGGTACGACCTGGTCTGGAGGGGAAAGAGGGGGAGCTTCTGGTTCGAGGGCCATCTGTTTTTAAAGAGTACTTTAACAAACCTCAGGAGACCAGAGAGTCTTTCACTGAGGATGGCTGGTTCAAGACAGGTACCAAACCCTCATCTTCCTCAGCAGTATGCATGCATAGCGAGTGCATTTCACTACCATTTATGGTTTGTACTGTCAGAGGGATTCACAGGAGATGAAAGATGTCATAAGATTTTTTCATCAGTGTTGCACACTGTACTTTCGGGGCACGATGACATGATTTTAAACACTTAAAAACCAGGAGTCCAATGCTGGAAGCACACACATAGTCACACATTCAGACAGTGTGTGTGTGTGTGCGCACATTTTGGGGAACTATGAGGGAGTGATAAATGGACTATGTGTGTTTTTGGTGCTGCAGGGCATTTTTCCTCCTAAGTGGTTGTGACTGCTCCAGGTCCTGAAGAAGAAGAACCAACTATTGCTGTGTGTGTGTGTGTGTGTGTGTGTGTGTGTGTGTGTGTGTGTGTGTGTGTGT